TTCTATGGGCTGGGACCAGCCTGAGCAGGGCTGCCTTTGCTTTCACCACAGCCTGGTGAGAGGTTCCTCTGCTAGCTGCAGAGTGGAAGTAGGTGGGGGCACTGGTGCCAGGCTCAGAGGGGCTAGCTAGGCCCGTGGGCCTCACCTCAGCTCCTTCCCTAGGCTGATCAACGTCACCATCTACTTCCAGCTGAAGACCATCAACCTGCAGAGCCTCATTAATAATGAGATCCCCGACTGCTACACCTTCAGTGTCCTGGTGAGGGCGCTGCTGGGCCTCTGGCTGCCGTCTTGCCTGCTCTGGGCCTCTGGATCATTGGCTTAAGGCCATGGGGAGAGGAGGAGAGGCCAGGGCTAGTAGAAGCATCTGGCCTGTGGGTCTCAGGGAGCTTGGGTTACCCAGGCTTACCCTGCCTCTCCCTGATCCCTGCCCTATAGATCACGTTTGACAACAAGGCTCACAGTGGACGCATCCCCATCCGGCTAGAGACCCAAGCCCACATCCAGGAGTGCAAGCATCCCAGTGTCTCCAGTCATGGTGAGCCCCCCTTTCCTGGTTGCCCCGATGTCTGGAGCACATTGGCTAGTCAAAACCAGCCATGTGGCAGGTACCAGTGGCTCCTGCCTGTAATCCTAGCTACTCAGGAAGCTAAGGTCTAAGGATCATGGTTCGAAACCAGCTGAAGCAGAAAAGTCCAAGAGCCTCTTATGTCCAGTTAACTACCAAAAACTTGTAAGTGGTGCTGTGGCTCAAGTGGCAGAGTGCCAGCCTTGAATACAAAAGCTGAAGGACAGCACCCTGGCCCTGAGTTCCAGTACCAGGACTAGCATAGAAAAACAAAACCCAAAACAGTGAAACCCCAACAACCCAGCCATGCAGCCCCCAGGTCTGCAGCCCTGGCCTGACCCCAGCCAAGGTTTCCCATGATGCTGTGCCACCTGCAGGTGACAACAGCTTCCAGCTCCTGTTTGACGTCGTGGTCATCCTCACTTGCTCGCTGTCCTTCCTGCTGTGCGCCCGCTCGCTGCTGCGTGGCTTCCTGCTGCAGAATGTGAGGCCCCAGCATCACAAGCTCCAGTGCCTGTCTTGCCCAGCCTAGAGGGGGCGGTGCGAGGGCCAGGGGCTTCCGGGATGGGCCCTGGCAGACCCTCACCCAGCTTCCTCGTGCAGGAGTTTGTGAGGTTCATGTGGCGGCAGCGGGGACGGGAGATCAGCCTGTGGGAGCGGCTGGAGTTCGTCAATGGCTGGTACATCTTACTGGTCACCAGTGATGTGCTCACTGTCTCTGGCACTATCATGAAGATTGGCATCGAGGCCAAGGTGGGTCCAGCTCCAGGGCCCACGCCACCTTATCTCCACATTCTGACCCGGTGGATTGACACCTTCCTCTGTATCCCCAGAACCTGGCAAGCTACGATGTGTGTAGCATTCTTCTGGGCACCTCCACGCTGCTAGTCTGGGTCGGCGTCATCCGCTACCTGACTTTCTTCCACAAGTACAACGTGAGCCTCACACCTGAGTTGGCTGGCGCAGGGATGTGGCAGGTTCTCTGGGTGACCTTTCCTGGCTCCCCAAATAAACCTATACATAGTAATACAGGACACGTAGTTCTGTTACCCAGGCTTCTTACTTTGGCCCCAACACACACACACACACCCCTACACCCCTGTCCCTGAACTTGGGAAGTGGCACTGGTGCATGTTGGGTCCACCTGTGGCACGTTCTCAGCCCCTCCCCCTGATGGCCCCGCCCCTTTCCAAGCCCTCTCCAGCTTCTGCCCCATGAGTCTCAACCTACTTTCCTGCCCTCACCTAACAGCTGGCTGGGTCATGGCCATCACTTCATGTGGCCCCCCCCCTTAGCCCTTTCATCCTCCTGCAGATTCTCATTGCTACACTGCGGGTGGCACTGCCCAGCGTCATGCGTTTCTGCTGCTGTGTGGCTGTTATCTACCTGGGCTACTGCTTCTGCGGCTGGATCGTGCTGGGGCCCTACCACGTGAAGGTAAGTGTGGCTCTGAGTGTCCGTCCAGGGGTCCCGGCCCCTCCCCCGAGCCCTCTGAGCACTGGTTGTTGATATAATGACATTGAATGACCCACCTGGACCCCTGGTTTTGTCACTGACATTCAGATGGGCTCATCTTTTCTTTTTTTTTCCTACCAGGCTTTTTCTGTGTATGTGGTACTAAGGAATTGAACCCTGGGCTCCATGCATGCTGCATTCCTAGCCCAGGGCCCATCTTATATGCTGTCACCGGGTACACAGACTCCTATAACACGCCCTCTACCCCATCCCCCACCCCCAGCTGACCCGGACTATAACAGTTGTTGTGCATCTTTTATGAGCCCAAGTGGCCTTGACATTGACTCTGTGGTGTGTGTGTGTGTGTGTGTGTGTGTGTGTTGGTTTTGGGGCTTGAACTCAAAGTTAATGCTGACCCTGAGCTTTTGTGCTCCAGGCTAATGCTTTTCAACTTGAGTCATTGCCCCACTTGCATCTTTTTGCTAGTTAATTGAGAAAAGGGTCTCCTTGACCTTCCTGCCTGGGCTGGCAGATCCTCAGATCTCAGCCTCCTGAGTAGGATTATAGGTGTGAGCCACCGGGCACCCTGTGTGACCTGTGGCTTCGTGGCTTTGTTGTTGATCCACTGACATTGAGATAGGCCCATCTTGACTGCTGGCACTGAGCCCACTGACCTCTGTGACCCAGGCTGACTGCACCTCACCTTCCTGCCCACAGTTCCGCTCGCTGTCCATGGTGTCTGAGTGCCTGTTCTCGCTCATCAACGGGGATGACATGTTCGTAACATTCGCCGCCATGCAGGCTCAGCAGGGCCGCAGCAGCCTGGTGTGGCTCTTTTCCCAGCTCTACCTCTACTCCTTCATCAGCCTCTTCATCTACATGGTGCTCAGCCTCTTCATTGCGCTCATCACCGGGGCCTATGACACCATTAAGGTCAGCGGCACCTGCTGGGCCCACAGGGACCTCCTGCGCATGCGCGTGCCTCCCACTCACACGCACATCCTGCTCTGGGGCTGCCAGCCACGGAATGGAAAGCCCACGGAGAGGGTGCCTTGGCATGGGGGTGGGGCACAGAGATGGCTAATTCCGTCCCAACATTGTCAAGGTGGGGCCTATGTTCCAGGGGTTGCTTTTACCCTCCAGGGAAACTGATTTCAGAGTTTGAGGAACTTTGGCCACTGTTAATGGCTGAATGTATTGTCAGGCTCAACCCAAGACCTTGTGATTCTGAAAGCCAGGTTCTTAATCTCCCTGTCTCATGGAGTGGCCAGGAGCCATGGTTTTCCAGCAAGCTGTAGCAGTCAGAGGAGAGACACCAGCATGTCTGGGAGATGCAGAGCAGGGGAAGACAAAATTCTTCCAGCCAATAGGTTCCAGGGAGTATGGAGGGCATGTGAAGGGATGATTAGTGGTCAGCTGGCGAGAGGTATGAAAGAAGTGTGGAAGGTTACAGAAGACTCTGCTAAAGACTGGCATTAAGGTGGTTCCAGGAAGGCTTCCAGAATGTTCTATGACTAGCTCCCTAGCCATATGATTACTTAAATTTTGATTTGAATTGAAATTCCAAATTCAGTTCTACATTTAGAGGATAGATCCATACCTTAAGTGCCTCAGCCAAGCATGGTAGAATATGCTTGTAATGCTAGCACTTGGGAAACTGAGGCAGGACGAATATTGGAGAGTTCCAGGCCAGCCTGCCTAGCATAGTGAGGCTGTCTGAAAAGGCCCAAAACAAAAACGGAACACACACATCAAATGCCCAAAAGCCTCTGTGGCTGGCTAGTGGCTAATTCATTTAGACCTGTTAGATAATTGAACATTCTCATTATCTTGGAAGATTCTAGACAGATGAGAACAGTGTCCAAGGGAGAGTGCATATGGGGGAGGGAACAACGAAAACAAAAGCTGTATAGAACAGATTTAGAGTAACGATGGTAGTTGCTAAGGGAGGTTAAGGGGTACTACTCACAATGCCTTTGTCACGCAGGCCCTACGAACCACCTCTTGTCTTACTGAACACTTGATGTCTCACATACAACACACGCACAGAGAGCATCTATGCATAAATTTGGGCCTTGTTCTCACAAGTGCCCAATACCTGTACCAACCCAGGCTCTGACAAGCCCCACCATGGGTGCTGGGCCTACTTCAGAGGGCATCAAACTGTCCCAAGATGTGGCATGCATTGTGGGGTCCTTCTGGGCAAGATGGAGAATGTGTGGAGGGCATAGTGGGAACGCCGTGGGGAGAGCCCTCCTGCCATCAGAGGGAAGGAGGGAGAGAGGGACGGGGAGATCCACATGGCTGGAGGAAGGGGGGCAGCATGGCAGACCTCATCAGGGACCCCGTGCGTGTCTCCCCAGCACCCTGGCGCAGGCGCAGAGAAGAGTGAGCTCCAGGCCTACATCGCACAGTGCCAGGACAGCCCCACCTCTGGCAAGTTCCGCCGCGGGAGCGGCTCGGCCTGCAGCCTGCTCTGCTGCTGCGCAAGGTTCGACCCGAGATCGGGCTGGGGGGGGGGGGCCCCGGGGGTAAGGGGGGGATGGGGGGGGGGGGGGGGGGGGGGGGGGGGGGGGCCCGGAGAACAGAGGGCCCTCCCCCCCCCCCCCCGCACCCCTCGTCCAGGGACGCCCCGGAGGACCACTCGCTGCTTGTGAATTGAGGACGGCTATGGACCTTATCCTGCGGACTGCTGGGAGCCCCCAGCTTATTTATTTTCAAGAATTTGCTTTTAAGGATCAGCTCGCTGCCCCCCCCGGCCCCCCGCTCCGAGAGGGCTGGGCTGATCCGGACGGACACTAGGGAGGGGAGGGAATTAAATAAATGGGAACATAAACTCGGAGCTCTCTCTTTTTCTAACTCGGCCCCTTTAAGTGTCCGCCACACTCGGCTCGGCGGGCCGGCGGCGACCTTCCGTGCGCGCAGGCGCGCGGGGCGGGGCCGGGGCGCGCCGCCCGGCCGTGAATAATTTAAAGGGGCCGAGTCCGCAGCGCCGGGCGGAAAGCAAAGCTAGCGGTGTTGGCGCCGGGAGGACCCTGGCTGCAGTCCCTGGGTGAGTCTTGAGTTTCCATCGGCCCGGTGGGGGCGCCCCTTCGGGGCTCGTTAGCCAGCTTCAACTTGCCCCCAAATCTGTGCTCTGATTCCCGGTAGGTCCCGACTTTCTGATGCCCCCATCCCCCCACCCCTACCCCTGTTTCTTGCCGGTGTTTCCGCAACGGTAGCCAGGTGCACCGTGGAGAGGAAGGGAAGTAGTCACCTCAGGAATATTCCAGGTAACTATGTCTCAGGGCCGAGTGATTGCGTTTCACCCCCATTAATATCCAGAGATATCTTTAGCGACACCCTCCCCAGACCCCAGCAATGTGCCCGGCCAGCCTCAGGTTTCCTCCTTGCTGGTCTCGAGTTCAGGATCTGTCGGTAACTTTCCAGCGCCCACCTGTAATCCCCGCGTCCCTGGTTACGCCTCTCGGTTTAACTGCGCCCGCGTCGTCGTTACCGAGTCCCGGTGATGCCCAGCCCCGCCGGGGACCCCGGAACTCTACTACTGCGCGGTAGTAAATTACCCAGTTAGCACCTTGCGGGTTCACCTCACCCCAAGGGTCCCATGACCCCTTCCAAGGGATCCTCGGGCGGTACCCCGCGCGTCCCAGCTCCCAGGGGCCGGGCTTGGGTCAGGAGCCAGTTGTCCAGCAAATCACGGGGTCCCCACTTTTCCCGGAGCGGAACATTCCAGTTTTTGGCAGAGAGTAGGAGGGCAAAGCTTAGGGGTGAAAGGGGGCAGAGGCCCGGGAGGGGACCCCTGGCCGGAAGGAGCCGGATCCTGAGAGAACCCGCCCGCGAGCAGCTGACTTTGATTGCCTCGACGGCTTCCCTTTGACCCCGGCCTGGGAGGAAGGGAAAGGGAGTCTGGAGAGAGCTCCGAGAGGGGAAATGTCTGGGATCAGGGGACTCTCCTATCCCCCAGGTCCGGGCCAGAAGGTCGACATCCCATCCATCTGTTTCACAGCGCCCCTCTAGCGGCTCCCACCCCGCCCCACCCCACCCCACCGCTGGCCGATGGAGAAGCCCGCGGGGCCAAAGGTACCCAGGGGGCGGGGCTTGTGGTTGGAGGCGGGGCTTAGGTGAGGGGCGAGGCCGGGGTCGAGCAGGCCCTCCCTGAATGACGTCTTGGTGCTGCTTCCTTCTGCCACCTGCTTGCCAGGACTGCGGGCTCTCAGACCTGCTACCCAGCCTGAGGCAACCAATGGAGGCCCCGCTGCAAACCGGAATGGTAAGGACCAATGATGCTTGGGACTACAACTCCCGGCGTGCTCTGCGCTCTCGCACGCTCTCACGGAACTACGTTTCCCGGCGCGCACCACGGGCGGCCCAAGCCGTCGGGGGTGGGGAAAGAGTGGCGTCCCCCCCTCCCCCCCGGGGAGGAGAAGGAGGAGGAGGAGGTGGAGGAGGAGGTAGAGGAGGAAGCCGCACTGGCCCATTCAGCAGATGGGGACACCGAGTCCTGGGCTGATTATGACCTCCTCGGGGGCTGAGGCCCAGGACGTCCCGGCCCTCGAGGAGGGTTCGGCGGGACAGACCTGCGGCGGGCATCCGGTGCCGTTCATCCCGCAGGTGCTGGGCGTGATGATCGGGGCCGGCGTGGCTGTGGTGGTCACCGCGGTGCTCATCCTCCTGGTGGTGCGGAGGCTGCGAGTGCAGAGTGAGGACCCGGAGGGGCCCCGGTGGAGGGGAGGAGGCTGAGGGCTGAACATCTGCTGGAACTCAGTATCCCCCCTCGCTCCCCTCTCCCGTCCCCTAGAAACCCCAGCCCCGGAGGGGCCTCGGTACCGGTTCCGGAAGAGGGACAAAGTGCTTTTCTATGGCCGGAAAATTATGCGGAAGGTGAGTCTGGGACCTCCTGTGTTCAGCGCTCACCACGCCGGCCCTGCCCCTTCCTGATTTACATCTCTTTGGTGGACACTTCCCTCTCCCCCTTTTATTGATTACAGGGCTCCCCTTTCTCTCCTTATTGATTCCCCGCTCCACCCCTTAAATCTCCTAGGTGTCACAGTCCACTTCCTCCCTGGTAGACTCCTCTGTCTCCACCACTTCCAGGCCACGAATGAAGAAGAAACTTAAAATGCTCAACATTGCCAAGAAGTAAGGCTGGTATCTGGTGATTCTGGTATTGGGATGGGACTAGGGCGCAGAATCATAACTTGGGGGTGCTCTGAGCCCATGGGCTGGTGTGGAAGTCTTTCCTATCAGAGGTGCATCTCAAGACTTTGTTTTCTCTGAGGAGCTATGTCAGATCTTTCTGATACCAAATATGGCTCTTCTGGGGTCTCTGTTTCTTTTAAGGACTCTCATTTCTGTACCACAGGATGATTGTGTGTGTGTGTGTGTGTGTATTAGAGCTTGAATTCAGGACCTGATGGTGGACCTGAGCTTTTTCACTCAAAGCTAGCATCTTACATTGACTCTGTGGTGTGTGTGTGTGTGTGTGTGTGTATTAGAGCTTGAATTCAGGACCTGATGGTGGACCTGAGCTTTTTCACTCAAAGCTAGCATCTTACCACACTTCAACTTCAAACTTTTTCCTGGTTTATTAGAGATAAGAGTCTCTTGGACTTTTATATCTGACTGGCTGATTTCAAACCCCAGATCTTAGCCTCCTGAGTAGGATTACAGATATGAGCCACCAGCCCCTGGCTATTTTTTTTTTTTAAATTAAGGCATCTTTATAAAGATAGCCTGCAGTCTGTATCTGGAGATGTTCACATAGAACAAGAACAACTTCCAAGACATGCCCAAGTCAGAGAGAGTCTATCTGAGGAACTTAGTCTGGGACCGAGGCTCCCATGACTAAAATGCACTTTCTGGGGTCTGCCCATACCTTGGAACTAATGTTGGGGTGTGTCATTACAGCCAGAACATCTGTTTACTAGATTTAGGATGACAGGTGGAGTGCCAGCCTCAGGACTTGCTTTCTTAGTTACCTTTTATTATTATTATTATTATTTGCTTGTTGTGGGGCCTGAACTCTGGGCCTGAGTGCTGTCCCTCAGTTCTTCAGCTCAATGTGAGCACCCTACCACTTGAGCCACAGAGCCACTTCCAGCTTTTTCTGCTTATGTGGTGCTGAGGAATCGAACCCAGGGCCTCATGTATGCAAGGCAAGCGCTCTACCACTGAGCCACCTTCCCAGCCCTCTCAGTTACCTTTTATCATCACTATGACCTAACACACAACCTAAGGAGGGAAGGATTTGTTTTAACACACACTTTCAAGAGGTGTCCATCTTTCGTGGTAGGAAGGGAGGGCTTGGAAGAGCAGAGCCGTTCCCTTCGTGGTAGAGAGAGGAATACAAGAAGGAGCTAGGGCAGATTGAGCCTCCCAGGACATGCCTTCAGTGACTATTTCCTCCACTGAAGCCCTGTCTTCTACCTTTCACCAGCTCCCAAAAGTGCCATCACATTATGAATCTATATCATGATTTATCCATTTATTAGGTCTGAGCTCTTATGGTCTGTAACCATCTTATTATTAGATGTTTCTTTCCTTTTTTTTTTGTTTCCAAAATTACTGTGGTTTTTAAAAAAAATTTTGTTTTATAGAAGATCTACTTTACTTGCACTGTTTAATTTCTTTCTAAATGTGCTGGAAAGAGCTACTTAAAAAAAATGTACAGGGGGCTGGGAAGGTGGCTCAGTGGTAGAGTGTTTGCCTTGCATGCATGAGGCCCTGGGTTTGATTCCTCAGCACCACATAAGTAGAAAAACCCGGAAGTGGCGCTATGGCTCAAGTGGTAGAGCACTAGCCTTGAGCTGAAGAGTTGAAGGACAGCGCCCAGGCCCAGAGTTCAGGCACCACAACCGACAAAAAAAAAAAAAATGTACAGTGACTGGGAGTGTGGCTTAGTGGAAGAGTGCTTGCCTAGCATGCATGAAGCCCTGGGTTTGATTTCTCAGTGCCACATAAACAGAAAAAGCTACAGTGGTATGGTAGTGCAAGTGATAGAAGCTCAGGGGCAGTGCTCAGGCCCTGAGTTCAAGCCCCAGGACTGGCAAAAACAAAAACAAACAACAACAACAAAAAACCAGTACAGGCCTGAGCCATCAGTGCTTGGGTGCTGAGTATTTCTTAATTCAGTGACTATCATAAGTTTTAATAAATATATTTTGTAAGTGGCCACATGGTAGGATTGGGAAGTTTGGCTCAAATGGTATTAGCAAGCTTCAGGCCTTGAATTCAAACTCCACTACTGCCCTTATCCTACCCTCTGCTACAAAAATGGGAAAGTGGGTATGTGGGGGTAGAGGGGCTAGATAGTAAATAATTTAGGCTTTGTAGTCCACATGCATTTCCGGTCTTGACTAGTCAACTGTGTGGATATAGTACCAGAACCCCTTTACGTGGTATGCAAATGAATGAACATGGCCATGTGCCAGTAAAACTTTATTTACAAAACCAAGTAGCCTGATTTGGACGGTGGGGAGTTTGCTTTGTGTGTTGGAGGTTTGGAGGATCTTAAGAGTCAACCTGAGCTCTCCCCTATCCTCACCTACCTTTCCACCAGGATTTTGCGCATCCCAAAGGAGACCCCAACACTACAGCGGAAAGAGCCTCCACCTTCAGTGCTGGAGGCTGACCTGACTGAGGGTGACCTGGCTAACTCCCACCTGCCCTCTGAGGTGCTGTACATGCTCAAGAATGTCCGGTCAGTGTTTTGGGGTACAGGCAATTTGGGGTGAGGGGGTCTTGCAGAGCTGGAGGGAGAAGGGCTGTTTGGACTCGCATCCCTCTTCTGCCACCCATCCCACAGGGTCCTGGGCCACTTTGAGAAACCTCTCTTCCTGGAGCTGTGCCGGCACATGGTCTTCCAGCGTCTAGGTCAGGGGGACTACGTCTTCCGGCCTGGCCAGCCGGATGCCAGCATCTATGTGGTGCAGGACGGGCTCCTGGAGCTTTGCCTACCTGGGCCTGTGAGTGGGCTGTGGGAAGAGAGGCACAGGAGAGGGCCATCCCCTGGGATGTATATTCAGAAGGCACAAGGTTAAGCCAGAAGCCAGTGGCTGACACCCATAATCCTAGCCACTCAGGACGCTAAGGTCGGAGGATTGCAGTTGAAGCCAGCCTGGGCAGGGACGTCTGGGAGACTCTTATCTCTTATAGTAAACTAACCACCCCCTCCCAGAAAAAAATGGAAGTGGTCTTGAGCAAAAGAAGGTCGAGGACAGTGCCCAGACCCTGCATTTAAGCCCTAGGACTGCCAAAAAAAAAAGGAGTGTGTGATCATTCAGTGGTAACTTCAGAGAGAGGCTGAGGTGATCACTAGGGTGGGTGGGGGTGGGGACCAGGGTTATAGACAGGGTGGGATGTGGGTTTCCAGGACGAGGCCAGCATGGGTGAATGGCCCCTGTGTCTTAGGACGGGAAGGAGTGTGTGGTGAAAGAAGTGGTCCCCGGGGACAGTGTCAACAGCCTTCTAAGCATCCTGGATGTCATCACGGTGAGTGACGCGTGTGAGGGAGCGAGGGATAGGCTGGAGATGGGGCGCTGAGGTGTGAGGAGGCCCTAGACCCCATCTCTGATTAGCCCCTGACATTGCTGAGGGACCCCATAGCCCTTGACCTTGTCTGCCTCTCCCCCAGGGTCACCAGCACCCCCAGAGGACCGTGTCTGCGCGGGCCGCACGTGACTCCACAGTGCTTCGGCTTCCGGTGGAGGCCTTCTCTGCTGTCTTCACCAAGTACCCCGAGAGCTTGGTGCGGGTGGTGCAGGTCAGCGGTCTTTTCCTCCACCCATGGCAGGGGGCGCGCCACACCCCACCCCTGTCTCCACCCCACCCATCTCTGCCAGCCAGAGCTCAGCAGGCGCTGGAGCTGCTGGTCCCATGGGGTGGTTATCAGCTCTGAGCAGCCAGCCCTGGCCCCTTGTCCCAGGTCCGGGATGGCCCCGCCCATTTATCTAGCCCCTCCCCTTGGCAGACCTGCTCATAACCCCGCCCCCTTCCTTGTAGATCATCATGGTGAGGTTACAGCGAGTGACCTTCCTGGCGCTGCACAACTACCTGGGTCTGACTAATGAGCTCTTCAGCCACGTGAGTTGGGGGCAGGTGTGGGGGCGCTTAGAGGACCAGGTGGAAACCACCTGGATGTGCCACAAACTGCTCTCTGTCCCTCTACCCCAGGAGATCCAGCCCCTGCGCCTGTTCCCCAGCCCAGGCCTCCCAGCCCGCACCAGCCCTGTGCGTGGCTGCAAGAGGGTGGTTGGCACCTCGGCTTCAGAGGAGCCCAGGGAGACCCCCGGCCGGCCCCCTGACCCCACCGGGGCCCCACTGCCTGGACCTGCAGGTATCTAGAGTCACCCCCATCTGGCTCCCAGGCCGCCAGTCTTGTCCCACTGGAATCCCCAAAGATTGCTTTTCCTAGTCCTCCATCCCCAGGGACTCCGAGTGGACCCCCCCCTCCCCTAATCCTAGCTCTGGACCTCCCCCCCCAGGGGAGCCTGTGAAGCCCACATCCCTGGAAGCCCCCCCAGCCCCTCTGCTGAGCCGCTGTATCTCCATGCCAGTGGATATCTCAGGTTTGGAACCTTTTGGGGGCCGGGTATAGGGAAAGGGCCACCCAGCTTCTATGCATTTGAATCTAGGCTCTACCAGGCTTGATTTCTTTTTTTACCTGCAAAATGAGGGGTGCCAGTGGTACTTCCTCGATGGTACTTTTGTGGTGCGTATTTACTGAGTTGGCATCTTCCTGGCTGGATTGTGAAGCATGCAGAGGGAGAATGTGGTCATCGATTGATCATGTCTGCTGTGGTCTAGACCCTGCATGGGGTAGGATTGGTGATTGATTACAGCTGCTGTCCCTCACCTCTTTATTTACTTTGATTATTGACTGATTGGAGCCGGGGCCTCACACAGGCTGAGGCAAGCCGCTGTAGCACTGAGCTGCACCTCTAACTTCATCTTCACTGATTTTATTGTCCCTCTTTGTACCCACAGGCTTGCAGGGTGGCCCCCGCTCTGACTTCGACATGGCCTATGAGCGTGGCCGGATTTCTGTATCACTGCAAGAAGAGGCCTCTGGTGGGCCCCAGACAGCCCCAGCTCGGGTAAGACCCCCTCCAGGGTTGCATCCCCACCTCGACCATGGTGGTATCTCCCGGGGTAGGTGCTTGGACTGGGGGCGCCCAGCAGATCACAGTCCTTGTCCCCTGCAGACCCCCAGTCAGGAGCCTCGGGAGCAGCCAGCGGGCGCCTGTGAATACAGCTATGGTGAGGACGAAAGCGCCACTGGCAGCTGCCCCTTTGGGCCCTACCAGGGCCGCCAAACCAGCAGCATCTTTGAGGCGGCAAAGCGGGAGTTGGCCAAACTGATGCGGATTGAGGTGGGCAGCAGAGGGGAGGACTGGGGATAGTAAGGAGTAATGGGGGGAAGGAGGCCTGGCTGCACCCATCTCAACCCCACTTCCCTCTTAGGACCCCTCCCTTCTCAACAGCCGGGTCTTCCTGCATCACGCCAAAGCGGGCACCATCATCGCTCGACAAGGGGACCAGGTATGTCTGATCTCTGACCCTTGACCTCTGGGAATAGGCTCCCCTCTTGTTTTTCATATCATTTCCAACCTCTAACCTGGGTGTCTTCTCATCTTTTTACCCCCAATCTTACCCCCCAAGTCCTTCTGGACACCTAACAACCCTTCACCTCTCACCTCTGAACTTCTCCTGGGGGCTGAAAGTCTAGATCTTTCCTACCTGTCCTCTTTCTTTCTGTAGCCTCTATTTTCTTTTTTTTTTTGGCACTATGGGTTTTGTTCTTTTTTTTTTTGGTCCAGTCGTGGGGCCTTGAACTCTGGGCCAGGGCGCTGCCCCTCAGCTCTTCAGCTCAAGGCTAGCACTCTACCACTTGAGCCACAGCACCACTTCCGGCTTTTTTTTTTCTGTTTATGTGGTGCTGAGGAATGGAACCCAGGGCCTCATGCATGCAAGGCAAGTGCTCTACCACTGAGCCACCTTCCCAGCCCGCACTATGGGTTTTGAACTCTGCTGCTTGAGTTGTGCCTTCACACCTTTTAGCTTGTGAGGTGATTATTATTATGTTTGGGGTGTTTTATTTTGTTGTTGGTGGTGGTGTGGGGCTTGAACTCAGGGCCTGGGCCCTGTGCCTGAGCCTCTTTGTGCTCAAGGCTAGTGCTCTACCACTCGAGCCACAGAGCCACTCTGGTTTTGCGGTGGCTAATTGGAGATAAGAGTCTCACAGGGACTTTTCTGCCCAGGCTGGCTTCGAACCACAATCCTCAGATCTCAGCTTCCTGAGTACCTAGGATTACAGTCGTGAGCCACTGGTGCCTGGCTATTATTATGTTTTTAGGTAGGGTCTCTCTTTTTTTTTTCTGCCAGTCTAGAGCCTTCTATGTGGCTGGGACTATAGGGCCATACCCTGTGCCCGGTTTATTTGTTGTGATGGGATGGGGGTCTCACAAGCTTTTTGCTGGGGCTGGCCTTGAACCATGCTCCTCCTGATCTTAGGAACATCCTGCTTACAACTCTGGCCTGTGGTAAGATAGGGGTTCCATAAAGAGGAATCATCATCACAACCCTGACTCCATGAGCCACTTTGGGACTCAGAGGCCTCCCCAGCAGCATGCCAGAGATAGCCATCTTCTGCATGTTCCATGTGGGGAAACTGAGGCAACCCCCCTTCTCCCCCTCCTGAGGGGAAGCACTGGCCATAGCCCCACAGTTGGGAGGCAGGGAGTTCAGGTTCTGAAGTGAGCAAAACAGACTTGAAATCTGGTCTCGGTCACAGCTCCCAGTGTGACTTTGGGCAAAAGATCTAGAAAGTTCTCAGCTTCCTAGGTCTGTGGGATGGAGATAGCGAGTAGAAACACAAACTTCTCAGAGATGCACCAAGGTAACAGTCCTAGGAGAGCTCTAGGGTGACAGTTTACGTTGGCGGCAGGCCAGAAACCCTGAAACCTGGGAGAGGGACCTGGGCAGAGGTGGGGGGCAGTGGGGCACAGTGCACCTGTGGGCTAGCCAGGGTTCTGCTGTCAGAAGGGGGGGGGGGCTCCTTTCTAATAGCAAGGCCAGTGAGGCTGTGCCAGCTAGCTGGGCTCGGCCCCTGGGGACAGACTGAGCAGCAAGATCTCATTTTATTTATTTACACACACACACACACACACACATGTATATGTATATATGTATACGGGTCTTAAACTGCTTTTGCTCAAGGTTAGCACTCTACCATTTGAGCTACAGTGCCACTTCCAGCTTTATTTTTTTCTGTTTCTGTGGAGGAATCGAACCCAGGGCTTCATGCATGCTAGGCATATACTCTACCACTAAGCCACATCCCTAGCCCTCTCGCTATATTTATATAGTATTCCAAAATGGGAGTTAAGAATGTAGTTGAGGAGGTGGGAGGGCAGGGATGGTAGGGGAAAAACAAAGGAGGGGGCAACAATGCTTGATAAGAAATGACTCATTACCTTGCTCATGTAACTGTAACCCCTCTGTACGCTGTTTTTACAATACTAAACTTACTTAAACACACACACACACACACGCATATACACACACAGCCAGAACCTGAAACACTTCTGGTCCAAAGCCTTTTGGATAAGGAAGACTCAAACCTATATTTAACACAGTCATGTCTGAACAGGTTTGAGAATTGCTGTTTGATGCATTTTTTCATTCCCAGTAAGCATCATTAAGATATTCAAGTTTCTGGGGGCTGGGAGGGTGGCTCACTGGTAGAGTGCTTGTCTCGTATGCATGAGGCTCTGTGTTCGATTCCTTAGCACTACATAAGCAGAAAAAAGCCAGAAGTGGTGCTGTAGTTCAAGTGGTAGAGCTCTCGCCGTGAGCTGAAATGTTGAGGGACAGCGCCCAGGCCCAGGCCCTATGACCGACAAAAAAAAAAGATATTCAAGTTTCTGAGAAGTCCTGCACTAAAACAAGCTTTCTAATCTGAGGACAGATGGCCACCTCATGTTAAAAACTGTGCTCATCTCAATCCCAGCCTGGAATTCTCCATTGTAGAAGGTTTCAGCACGTGTGTGCGTGCATGCGTGCGTGCGCGTGCGTGTGTGTGTGTGTGTGTGTCTCTATCTCCTGGAGTCCTCTCCCTTTCTCCCTCATTCCCAGCACTGTTTTGGCTGTGGATTTTTTAAATTCGTATTTTATTTTTTTTTGTCAGTCGTGGGTTGAACTCGGAGCCTGGGTGATGTCCTTGAGCTCTTTTGCTCAAGGCTAGCACTTTACCACTTTGAGTTCTCTGGTGGTTCATTGGAGGTAAGAGTCTCACAGGGACTTTGTCTTGTGATCCTCAGATCTCAGCCTCTGGTGTGAACCACTGGCATCTGGCTATTTTTCATTTTTTGGTGGCAGACAGGTTGAGGTAATGAAAGGAGAATGATCTTTCTGTCTTGAGGAAGTTTCTTCATTGATGAAGAAACAGAAGGAGGATATGTCTGACTGGTCAGGCTGATAGGAGAAGAGAGATGCCTTAGTCCTGGAGCTTGTGCTGCCTGCTGGACCAGAGGCAGGAAAAACCGGCATGGTGTTAGCCTTTGGGACAGGACCAGTAGTTCTGACAGACATGACTCAAAGGATCACACAAATGAAATATAAGAAAGGCTTAATATATGACCTGTTGGCACTACAAAGGCTGGTGTAAACAGGGCAGAGCATCTGAAGATGTGGCCTCCAGCCAAAGAGGAAGGTGGGGGAGCAATTAACTGGGTATAGCTGGAGGAAAAGTCATACCAGGCAGAGAACAGGTTGTGCAAAGATCCTGTGGTGAATGTGCTTGCTGCATATGTGTGAGACCCTGAATTGATCCCCAGCACTAAAAGTAGTCATTTTAGACGTCCTATGTTAAAACATGTAATCCACGTGAGTATGGAATGGAATTTTTTTCATCCTCTGATCTGTGGACAGACATTTGTTTTCACCTTTTATTGGGGGGAAGAGAGGGTGTAGTTTGGCTTGAATTCAAGGCTTGGGTGCTGTCCTCAAGGCTAGTATTTTTACCATTTTGAGCCACAGCACCACTTCCTGCTTTTTCTGTGGTTAATTGGAATAAGTCTCATAGACTTTCCTGCCTGGGCTGGCTTTGAACTATGATCCTCAGATCTCAGCCTCCTGTGTAGATAGGATTACAGGTGTGAGCCACTGGTGTCCAGCTTATTTCTACCTTTTAGAAATTATGCGTCAAACACAGAATCCAGATTAGATCATTGACTTGCAAATATTTTCTCCCACTGTGTAAGTTGCTGTTGTTGCCGTGATTCTGAAATACAAAATTTTTATTTATTTTTATTTTTTTGTCGGTCGTGGGGCTTGAACTCTGGGCCTGGGTGCTGTCCCTGCACTCTTCAGCTCAAGGCAAGTGCTCTACCACTTGAGCCACAGTGTCACTTTCTGGCTTATTGGAGACTTTCCTGCCCGGACTGGCTTTGAACCATGATCCTCAGAGCTCAGCCGTCTGAGTAGCTAGGATTACAGGCGTGAGCCACTGGCACCTGGCTCTGGAGTACAAAATTTTTAATCATGATGAACTCATGCTTGCTAGGCAAATGCTCTACCACTTGAGACATGCCCTCCCAGCCCTATTTTGCTTTCAGTTATTGATCAGATTGGGTCTCACACTTTTTTGCCTGGGCTAGTCTTGGACTGTGATCCTCCTAAGCTTGAACCACCATGCCCAGATTGTTGGTAGATGTGTGTGTGTGTGTGTGTATGTTTGGTGTGTGCGTGGGGGCTTAATAAACTTTGGGTAGGTTGGTGTGAGCCACCTTGCAGTGCCTTATTTTTTCATCATAAACCTCCCTATGGGGCACCTTGAGATGAGTTTGGGGAGCACCCGGCGCGCTGCTCCCGTCCCCACATTTGCTCATCTCCCGTGCTCCCTCCTGTCATCACAGGATGTGAGCCTGCACTTCGTGCTCTGGGGCTGCCTGCACGTGTACCAGCGCATGATTGACAAGGCAGAGGACGTGTGCCTCTTCGTGTCTCAGCCCGGGGAGCTGGTGGGGCAGCTGGCGGTGCTCACGGGGGAGCCCCTCATCTTCACCCTGCGTGCCCAGCGCGACTGCACCTTCCTGCGGATCTCCAAGTCCGACTTCTATGAGTATGACTTGGCCTGGGGCTGGGGTGTGGGATCTTAGCAGCCGGAGGACCCAGCCCAATTTTGCTCCGTCCCCACCTGTCTCAAGGGCCATTTGAAGCCCTTCCTGTTTTACCCCTGATTTCTGGAGAGTCCTGGGCCGATCCCTAGACCATGCACACACACACACACACACCCTCTTCTTGGCCTGCAGGATCATGCGTGCTCAGCCCAGCGTGGTGCTGAGCGCGGCGCACACGGTGGCGGCGAGGATGTCGCCATTTGTGCGCCAGATGGACTTCGCCATCGACTGGACGGCAGTGGAAGCCGGACGGGCGCTGTACAGGTGCAGCGCCCCGCCCCCGCCCTCCCCCCTTTCTGCTCCCACGGGTGTAAGACCAGGCTGGCCCTGCTTACCCCCCCTCCACCCTGCACCCCAGGCAGGGCGACCGCTCCGACTGCACCTACATCGTGCTCAACGGGCGCCTGCGCAGTGTCATCCAGCGGGGCAGCGGCAAGAAGGAGCTGGTGGGGGAGTATGGCCGCGGGGACCTCATCGGTGTGGTAAGGGCGGCCGCAGCCAGCCCTCCCCCCCAGCACCCCACTGATGGGACCCAGTGGGGGACCTGGCCGTGTCTCAGGGCTCCCCCTTCCCTCCTGGAATTCAAATGGATAATGGGCATCCCTATTTTTTGGGGGGGGTGGGTCCCAGGGTGTGGGAGGTTCCCTCCGCACCCATGTCCCGCCCCCCCTTCCTGGGACACCCCCCCCCCCCGGCCCCGCAACCTTGTCATGTTCGTGACCCCACAGGTGGAGGCGCTGACCCGTCAGCCGCGGGCCACCACGGTGCACGCTGTGCGGGACACGGAGCTGGCCAAGCTCCCCGAGGGCACCCTGGGCCACATCAAGCGGCGGTACCCGCAGGTGCGTCCCTGCGGGAGGGCAGCTGCCAGGGCCCGGGGGCGGGGCTGGGCGGACGGGGCTCCTGGGGGCAGGGCCTCCCCTGCTGGAGGTGGTAGAAAACGCGGGAGCACTTGCTCCTCCTCCTTACTGGCCCGCGGGGCTCCACTGTCTCCAGGTTGTGACCCGCCTCATCCACTTGCTGAGCCAGAAAATTCTCGGGAACCTGCAGCAGCTGCAAGGACCTTTCCCAGGTGGGGGGGCGGGGGGGGGGAACGGGGAATGGCTGCCGAGGGGCATGCTGGGGGGTGTAGTCCCTCACCCAGCGCTGGTGCAGAAGGGAAATTCTGTTCACTGGCATGCTGGGGAATGTAGTCCAGCGTAAGTTTTGCCAGTGCTGGGACCAGTTTAGAAGTAGGGTCCGAGGAGCATGCTGGGGGATGGAGTTCAGGTTCCTGTGCACTCTGGGAAATGGAGTCCTGGCAACCAAGGACACTTGTTGAAGTTGAAGGCTCTCTGGTGTTGACCTTGCTGGGTGAAGGCATCTTTAAGCTGAGTGCTTGATTCCCCTGTCAGGACCTGTTGGATAGAATTCACTCCTGCACACATAGGAAGGTGTCAGATTAATATGTGATGGCATCTGGCATCCGCGGATGGAGGACAGGGCTCATGCCACATTGCCAAATGGCTTCTAAAGTTACCCAAGTGCCAAGAGGTGTGGTTCCTTGTCCCAGACAGTGGCTTCTGTGACCTCAACACAATCAGCCACAGTCCAAGGCATGCTGAAATGTAGGCCAAAGGTTCTACATGTGGGTGACCCACTACCTCCTTCGCAGGGTTGTGGTGTCAGGAAAAATGCAACTTGTAAAATACGCAGAAAAAGTAGCGCTGTTATGTGGTGTAGGTAGCAGAGGGAGGCTTCCCAAGGACAGAGCTGAGACTTGATATGTGAGATGGGGTTAGATTTAAGAACTAGGAAAGTCCAAATTGGGGGTGTGTGGTGATTTTGAGCCATCACCAGGAGTAAACTGAGAGGGATGGCTGGAGTAAGAGTCTAGGATTTGAGGGGTGTGTGTTTGTTTGGTTGGTTTTTTTGGGGGTGGGTTGTGGGGCTTGAACTCTGGGCCTGGGCACTGTCCCTCAGCTCTTCAGCTCAAGGCGAGCGCTCTACCACTTGAGCCACAGTACCACTTCTGGCTTTCTGGTGGCTTATTGGAGATAAGAGTCTCATGGACTTTTCCTTCCCAGGCTGGCTTTGAACCATGATCCTTAGATCTCAGCCTCCTGAGTAGCTAGGATTAACAGGCGTGAGCCACTGGCACCTGGCTCATTTGAAGTTCTTAAGGCAGTCATAGAGGAGGGGAATCCGACCACCAAGAAATCAAGAGATGAGGCTGCTTCCTTGGTGTAGGCTATTGGCCAGGGTCCTGGGATGGAGTAAGTGGGCCAAAAGTATGTTTTTTCTGGTCTAGTCTTGGGTTGAGATAAAGGAACCCAAGCCAGAGTAGGGTTGGGGTTACCAGTGAGGCTGCAGATACAGTGAATGTAACTGTTGCAAAGTTGCATAATGAGCCCCACTGAGATTAGGGCCAGCAAAGGAGAGGAGATGGCCATGTTTTAATCAGCGGTCAGGCTGTAGGTTAGGATCAAGTTGCAAGGTTAGAGAAGGAAGAGGAAGATGAAAATGAGGAAGAGACAGGTGACACAGGCTACACAGCATATTTCTCCATTGGGATCTCAGCAGGCTCAGGGCTAGGTGTCCTGCCCCACTCGGAACTCACCAACCCAGCCAGCAACTTGTCCACGGTGGCAGTCCTGCCCGTGTGTGCGGAGGTGCCCATGATGGCCTTCACACTGGAGCTGCAGCATGCCCTTCAAGCCATTGGTCAGTGGGGGCAAGGGGCATGGTGAGGGCAGGCCCTGGGGATGCTGGGGCAGGGTGTGTATTTGTAAAACCATTGGTTAATGGGTGGGCATACTTGGTGGATGGGCAGGGTGGGGAAATGTAATAGGGTCCCAGGGTTTAGGGATGAATAGTGGGGTATTCTGCTTGGAGAGAGGCCCTCAGCTCTAACTTCCCTCCCTGGTCTTCCCTAGGTCCCACACTCCTCCTCAACAGTGACATCATCCGGGCACGCTTGGGAGCCTCTGCACTAGATAGGTGTGTGGGGGCTTCGGATGGGAGCAAGACAGGGCATGGGGTATGTTGAGGCCTCTAATCCTTTTAGCCAGGTAAATGCTAGGTGCCCCACAGTGGGGTCAATTGGCCGACAATGGGTGAAGCTCTCTCTGTAAGGCGTGCACTTCCCTTGAGTGTGTCCAAGCTCCTCCCAGAAATGGAATTCTGTGGGGTGCACCACCCCAGACCAGCTCCCAAAATGACCAGCTCCCCCATCCCACTCAGCATCCAAGAGTTCCGGCTGTCAGGGTGGCTGGCCCAGCAGGAGGATGCGCACCGCATAGTGCTCTACCAAACCGACGCATCGCTCACGCCCTGGACCGTGCGCTGCCTGCGCCAGGCCGACTGCATCCTCATTGTAGGCCTGGGTGACCAGGAGCCTACCCTTGGCCAGGTTCGGAGGTCCTATTTAGTGATTCCCCCACGCGGGGACCCCCTCCCCCTGCCCTACCGTGCCTGCATCAGGACTCATGCACCTGTACCCAAAGTGGGGGGGGAGGGATGGGCGAGGCCTTGACCCCCACTCTCCACCCTCCAGCTGGAGCAGATGCTGGAGAACACAGCCGTGCGCGCCCTCAAGCAGCTGGTCCTCTTGCACCGGGAGGAGGGCCCGGGCCCGGCACGCACTGTTGAGTGGCTCAACATGCGCAGCTGGTGCTCGGGGCACCTGCACCTGCGCTGCCCGCGCCGCCTCTTCTCGCGCCGCAGCCCAGCCAAGCTGGTGAGACTGGACCGCCCCCCCCTCCGCCCCGCCCCAGGAGAACCTCTCACTTCCTGGGGGCGGAGCCGGGAGTGGGCGGCGAGGGGGGCCCCCCCCATGGGGTTGGGGTATCCACAGCCGACCCCCAGCCTTACAGATCGCTGTTCTTACCCCAGCACGAGCTCTACGAGAAGGTTTTCTCCAAGCGCGCCGACCGGCACAGCGACTTCTCCCGCCTGGCGCGGGTGCTCACGGGAAACACGATCGCCTTGGTGCTGGGCGGGGGCGGGGCCAGGTGAGGGGCGGGGCCTGGACGCCGCTCTGGGCGTGGTCAGCTAGGGCGGAGCTTTCTTCGTTGGGAGGCTGTCCCGGGGGCGGAGCCTGGGTGCCGGGGGTGGAGCTTTCCGGCAGACTCCAGCCACGGTGGCTGGTTCTTAGGTGTGGAGCAGGGGAGCTCCTGGGACTGGGCTTGGCCCATCCCCTTGTGGTCACTGGGCCCCCTCCATCCCGCAGGGGCTGCTCGCATATCGGGGTGCTGAAGGCACTAGAGGAGGCAGGTGTGCCAGTCGACCTCGTGGGTGGCACATCCATCGGCTCCTTCATAGGGGCCCTCTATGCCGAGGAGCGCAGTGCCAGCCGCACCAAGCAGCGGGCCCGCGAATGGGCCAAGGTGTGTGTTGGGGAGGTCGGGGGTTGCTGGGAGACCTGATCTGAGATGGGGGGGCCCCAGGATCTGCCTGGACCCCTGTAGATATAATACTCTTGGGATTTGGATGTTTCTCTGCCATCTCCCCACCAGTGACCCTAGTCCCCACCCCCAGCTAGAGCAATCAAGAACCCCAGCCACCACTTTCTGAGTGGGCCTGGAAGGCTAACCACCGTCTACGGTCCGCCCTCTAGACTCACAAACCCTCCATGATCCCAGGTGATTCCCGTTTGACCCCAGCTGGCCCTATACCCTTAGGGCATGACCTCGGTAATGGAGCCAGTGTTGGATCTCACCTACCCTGTTACCTCCATGTTCACTGGCTCGGCCTTTAACCGAAGCATCCACCGTGTCTTTCAAGATAAGCAGATTGAGGTATGGTCTGCCTACACCCATCCCCACCCCCACCTTGCCTGCCTCAATCCACAGTGGCTCCCAACCTCCCCTCCTGTGCATCCCTGTCCTTGCAGGACCTGTGGCTGCCATACTTCAATGTGACCACAGACATCACTGCTTCAGCCATGCGTGTCCACAAAGATGGTGGGTGCCACCATCCTGCTTGGCCCAGCTACATCAGCTGTGCTCACATGGGGAGGGACTGTGGGGAGGGGGCAGCTGAGCCACTGGGACCTGGTTAACACAAGTGACTGGCCACCGACCACTAACCATCACCTGCTAATGTCCCAGAGGCCCCAGGTATGTCCTAGCTGAGGGGTGGGGAGCCTGGAGGCTCATCAGGCGCCTCACCCCCTCCGCCTACCGACGTCCCCACAGGCTGTATGTGGCGTTACGTCCGGGCCAGCTCCTCCTATTGTCCCTACCTGCCCCCTCTCTGCGACCCCAAGGATGGGCACCTGCTGGTGGACGGGTGCTACGTTAACAACGTACCAGGTCTGGCTAGGCCTCTTAAGTGTGTCTGAGCGTGTCTCTGTGTGTGTGTGTCTTGTCTGTATATCCCACCGGGCAGGCTCTCTGTGGCGGTATGTGCGTGCCAGCATGACACTCTCAGGCTATCTGCCCCCGCTCTGCGACCCAAAGGACGGGCACCTGCTCATGGATGGCGGCTACATCAACAACCTGCCAGGCAAGTGGCTGACTCATGCACTGCGCATGCATTGCTCACGTGTGTCACTGGGCTCCCATATACACCGCCATTGCACACGCAAGCCCAGGCAGCCAGGCTCAGGCAAGGGAGCAGGTGCACAACCTATGCAATGGTACAGATGTGTGCGTGTGGTGGGAAAGTAGAACATGTGCACACAGACATAAACATGTGCATTGGAGAGATGTCATCTATCCACATGCCAGTCTGTTCACACCTGTCCTGCACACTCTGTGTACACGTGCACCCATGCCTACATGCACATAGATCTGGTGCCTGCGTGACCAAGTTAGGCTTTCACCAGTGCAGCAGAGAGGCAGGTGAGTGTTCACAACTGCACAGCAGGAGCAGGTAGTTCATAGCTGTCAGTCCAGCTTATGCAGGAGGCTGAGATCTGGGGATCAAGGTTCAAGGCCAATCCAGGCAGAAAAGGCCATGAGATTCCCTAATTAACCAGCAAAAAGCTCAAGCTTGGAGGCTTGGCTCAAGCAGTAAGAGTGCTAGCCTTGTATAAGCAGAGTAAGCTCAAGTTCCTGAATTCAAATCCCAGTAGCAACCAAAAGTGTTCACAATCCCAGAAGTGAGCATACAGATGTGTAAGCTTCACACAGAGACACACACATACACGCACAGAGTCCCGTAGATCAGGAGTTGACAAACAATGTCCCCCCAAACCCAGGGCTTCATGCATGCAAAGCAACCACTCTACCACAGAGCCACCATCCCAACCCCCCTGTGAAACTTTTTTTTGGGGAGGTCTGGTCGTGGGGCCTGAACTCTGGGCTTGGGTGCTGCCCCTCAGCTTTTCAGCTCAAGGCTAGTGCTCTACCACTTGAGCCACAGTGCCACTTCTGGCTTTTTTTTTTCTTTTCTGCTTATGTGGTGCTGAGGATTCAAACCCAGGGCCTCATGCATGAAAGGCAAGCTCTCTACCACTGAGTCACCTTCCCAGCCCCCCCCTCCCCCCACCCCCCGTGAAACTTTTATTTCCAATTAATCAGCAGAAAACTGGAAGTGGTGATGTGGTTCAAGTGGTAGAGTGCTAGCCTTAGGCAAAAATTACTTAAGGACAGTCCCCAGGCCCTGAGTTCAAGCCCCACTGCTGGCAAAAATAAAAAAAAAAAAAAGTTTTATTGAGGCAATCATACCCAGTCTTTTGACCTGTTATTTGGGGCTACAGTGGCAGAGTGTAGTATCGTGGCCCACAAAGTTGGAATGCTTTTCTCTTTGTCATGCCATGTACATGAGCAGGTGTATACACCTACCTACAGGTGGATGGCACACTTGGACACACAAGAAATACATGTAGATGTCACACAGAAACCCAGCCTGTTCCCACACAAGGTCTGGGCATGTGTCCCAGGAAACATAAGCAAGCTCACACAGGATATGTGCCAAGTCGAATACAGACCTGCAGGCCCCTGTCTCTGTGCCCCGGCTCCATTTTGGGGACCCTTCCAATGTGGGGTACACACATTGCCAGCACAGATCTCCAGGCACACCACCATGCTCACTGAGCCATCACCCTTTCTTCTTCCCTGGGCCTCATTTGCATTGGTCTCTTCACTTTTGCATAACCGCATGACATTTGCATACTGTGAGCTGTGGGACTGGGTTGATTATCCCTGCCTGGGGCCCCCCCGCTGGGAGCAGCCCTTTGACCCCTTGGCCCCACAGCGGACATCGCCCGCAGTATGGGTGCCAAAACGGTTATCGCCATCGACGTGGGGAGCCAGGATGAGACGGACCTCAGCACCTACGGGGACAGCCTGTCTGGCTGGTGGCTGCTGTGGAAGAGGCTGAACCCTTGGGCAGACAAAGTGAAGGTCCCAGATATGGCCGAGATCCAGTCCCGGCTGGCTTACGTGTCCTGTGTAAGGCAGCTGGAAGTGGTCAAGTCCAGCTCCTACTGCGAGTACCTACGCCCACCCATCGACTGCTTCAAGACCATGGACTTCGGGAAGTTCGACCAGATTTATGTGAGCAGCTGGGGTAGATGCAGTGCTGGCCTGGTGGGCTGGAAAAGTTTTGCTTTGTAAACCCCAGAGGAGTGCCAGATGGAGGGTTTTAGGGCTTCATCTTCAACCTGTGGGAAGTGATCAGTGATTGATCAGTGATATCTGCACTGGGCATGGCAGATGTAGTGGTGGTGTGAGCTTTGTGTTTAAGCTTATTACGTGAAACACCCAGTAGTGATTTCCAGTGCCAGTTTCTGTCCAGGTAGGAGTGAGAGCAGTGATTAGTTAGTTAATGTCTGCTACAGATCTGAGAGAGGAGGGTAGATGTGTTTTCATCCTGTCCCACTGGCCCTGAAAAATGTTTCATGGTTCTCACCAGCTGAAGTTGACCATTATCTGCTGCCCAGAGGCACATGTAAAATTGTCTGATGTCCTTTCTGAGATGACAGAGAAAGTGTGCTGTGATGGATTAGTGATGCCTACTGTGGACCTGAGACTTTACAATATCCCCATGTGTTCCACATATCTGCAAACCTTAAAAATAATTTCACATACCACCAGCAGATGTGTCCTTTGGGACCTGGTATTGAGGGGTTGAGTGGGAAAGGAGGTGGAGGCATTGATTAGTAATGTCTGGCAGGGGTGCAGATAGATATTTGCATAAGTGTGCTATGTATGGCTCACTCAGAAATAGATTTAATCTCAAATGTCTCTTCTCCACTTGAGGGTTCAGAGAATAGGCAGAGTGAGTAGTGATGGCCGGAAGGGGGCTCAGGCATGGCCCCAACACCCTTCCCTTCTTGTAGGACGTGGGCTACCAGTACGGGAAGGCTGTGTTTGGAGGCTGGACCCGGGGCGATGTCATTGAGAAGATGCTCACAGACCGGCGGTCTACAGACCTTAATGAGAGCCGTCGAGCAGATGTAAGCCTGCGGTGTTTTTTGGGTTGGAGACACTCCAAACATTCCAGGACCCCTACAGAGCTGGCTCATCCCTGTCCCCCAACCTCAGATGACCTGATACATCTCTGGGGTCCCCTGAGGTGACCGCTTCAAGATCTCTGAGTCCAGCACCCCCAACCCTGCCCCTCCCTTCAGGTTCTGGCATTCCCCAGCTCTGGCTTTACCGACTTGGCGGAGATCGTATCCCGGATCGAACCCCCCACAACCTACGTCTCCGATGGCTGTGCGGATGGTGAGGGCTAAGGGGGCACCCCTGGAGGAGTAGGGGGAGCTGGGCCTGGAGATATCTGGGGACCCCAGACCAGCCTGGGTCCCCTGAGCCTTGCTCACCATCCCAAGGGGAAGAATCCGACTGCCTGACAGAGTATGAGGAAGAGGCGGGCCCCGACTGCTCGAGGGATGAGGGGGGCTCCCCCGAGGGCGCTAGCCCCAGCACGGCCTCGGAGGTGGTAAGAGCTGACACCCCAGCATCCCCCCTCCAGGGGGCCCTGGCAGGTCTGTGTGTGGTGGGGGGCTGTCTGGGGTCTCGCGTGGGGTGTGCTGGATGATGCCCCAGAAGGGTCCTGTGGCAGCCACAGGTGCATGGATGTCCCCAGGCTGGGCAGAGGGTCTTGGCTGAGAAGCCCTGTGGGCTTCTAAAGGGACATCGATGCAGCCACAAGAGGTTTGCTTCTCATAGGGCAGGGCTGGGTGGGAGGCTGAAGTTTTCTGGCTGATTAGGAGGTAGTGTCAGGGGGTGTCTGTAGGCATGTCTCACCCTGGTGACGCACATAGCCTGTTCTCTCTCCCCCCTCCCCACCTCACCCCCCACCAGGAGGAGGAGAAGTGTCCCCTCCGGCACCGGCGCCGGCCTCCCCCCGAGCCTCCAGGCTCGGCTGCAGACACCTAAGGATGTCCCTAGGACACCCCCCCCTCCGGCCCTTGCTGGGCTGGGGTGGCCCGTGGAGGGAGGGAGCTCCCCTCAACCTGCTGCTAATGCCTGATGCTCCCTGGGTGTCCTCAGCACCCAGGGCCTCACACACACTGGACCGAACCGCCCGCCCCAGCCCCGGGGCGGCGCCACTGCACTGATCACCCATTGTCCCATTGTCACCCTACCCAATAAACTCATGTCTTAGAAGCAGCTTGGTGGTGTCCTTGGTTCTGGATCCCCTCCCAACCCTACCTTCCACCCCACACTTGGCCTCCTCAGCCCCACTGTGTGCAGAGACCATGGACGTGCACCCAGTCAGTCTCCAAGGATAAATCACATCCAGACATAGGCTAAAGAAGTTATTTCTCACTGGGCACTGGTAGCTCACTCCTCTAATCTTAGCTACTCAAGAAGCTGAGATCTAGCTGGGTGCTGGTGGCTCATGCCTGTAATACTAGCTACTCAGGAGGTTGAGATCTGAGAATCATGGTTCAAAGCCAGCCTGGGCAGGAAAGTCCCTGAGACTCTTATCTCCAATAAACCACTAGAAAACCAGAAGTGGAGTTGTGGCTCAAGTGGTGGAGTGCTCACCTTGAGCTGAAGAGGGCAAGGACAGCACCCAAGCCCAGAGTTCAAGCCCCAGGACTGACCAAAAAAAAAAAAAAGTACAAAAGAGAAGCTAAGATCTAAGAATCATGATTTGAAGCCACCCTGGGCAGGAAAAATCCATGAGACTCTTCATCTCCAATGAACCAGCAAAAAGCTGGAAGTAGAGCTGTGACTCAAGTGGTAGAGTGCCAGCCTACCACTTGAGTAAAAAAAACTGGAAAGCCAGACACCAGTGGCTCCAGCCTGTAATCCTAGCTACTCAGGAGGCTGAGATCTGAGGATTACAGTTCAAAGCCTGCCTAGGTAGGAAAGTCTGTGAGACTCATCTCCAATTAACCACCAGAAAACCGGAAGTGGTGCTATGGCTCAAGTGGTAGAGTGCTCACCTTGAGCTGAAAAGCTCAGGGACAGTGCCCAGGCCCTGAGTTCAAGCCCCAGTACCAACATACACACACACACACACACACACAGTTTCTCTTGGTTTCTATCCTTTTCTCCTGTGTGCCCAGCTGAGCTGACAGGGAGCGGTCTCTGCTTTGCTCTGAGCTCTGACCCCTGCACTTGGAGGTGTTGGTGAATAGCTTAGACTGTGAACAGGTGGACTGGAGGGTCAATGCCAGCTGGGCCTTTCCTGGTGATCACAGGCTGGCGACTGAAGCTCGCTGAGCTCTGGTGGCTTCACCTGGCCATCAGACTGGGCCTGAACCTAGATTGGAAGCCCTGGGAAGGGACTAGATCTGTGTGTGTGTATGTCTCATGAAATATATATATACACATACATACATATATATAAAGTTTATCATTGTAATCGTGTGTGTGTGTGTGTGTGTGTGTTGTACTAGGGGTTGAACTCAGAGCCTTTCAATCTTACACAACTTTTTTTTTTTTTTTGCCACTTGTGGGGTTTGAACAGGGCCTTGGCACTGTCCTTGAGCTTCTTTTTGCTCAAGGCTAGCACCCTACCACTTTGGTTTGGTACCATCTCTGGTTTTTGAGTGCTTTGTTGGAGATTAGAGCCTCGTGGGAACTTTTTTTTTGCCTGGCCTGGCTTGCTTTGAACTGTGAGCCTCAGATCTCGGCCTCCTGGATAGCTAGGATTACAGTGTGAGCCATTGTGTGTGGCCATCAGCACCATGGACAGCAAAGATGCTATCCACGGTAGTATCAGCCCCTCCCCCCCCCTCCCCCAGCTGCTCCCTCCAAGCCCCCAACATTCCTGCCCCCCTTCAGATCCTTGGGCTTTATTTTTTGTTGTTTATTTGTGCATTTGGTGGGGCTCAAACTCAGGGCCTTTCAATTTTGTTGGCTCTTTTCTGCTCAAGGCCAGCCCCCTACCTCTTGAGCCACAGCTCTCCTTCCAGATATTTATTTCAAGAGTCTCTTTGACTTTTGGAACCCCAATTCTCAGAGGTCAGCCTCCTGAGTCACTAGAATTACAAATGCAAGCCAACCAAGGCCTGGAATTCTTACTACTTTGACAAATTATTTCAACAATGTAAATGCATCATTTCACATGAACCGACTTGGGGCAGCAGCTCCTTCCTGGAAAGTTTCTGGACACTGGAAAGACACTGAAATCCTCTGGGTCAGAAATGACACATTTCTGCCCACGGTTGCTCTCATTGGCCAGGACGAATCACATGGCCCCGCCCACTCACCAGGTGCATGCGATCTGCCCTTCCATGAGCCAGCCAAGGATCCTTGGGGAAATACGTCGAATATCATTAATGGTAGACAGATGTGGAGATGGAAGCCAACACATACTGCCTCTCTGCTTCCACATCTTGAGGCTTAGGTAATGCCAAGAAATCTTACAAGCCAGACACCCATGGCTGATGCCTGTAATCCTAGTTATGCAGGAGGCTGAGATCTGAGGATCAGGGTCTGAAGTCAGCCTGGACAAAAAAATTGGTAAAACCGGGCATGATAGCGCACACTTGTCAACCCAGCTACATGGGAAGTTGAAATTGAAGAACTTTAGAAATTAGGCCTGATGATGCATGCCTATCTTCCAGCTCCAAGTAGTTGCTGTAAAATAGGCAGATAGTGGTCCAGGTATGAACCCAGGATTGAGCCCAACCTGCAGCTTGAGCCTCCTGCTGTGTGGGCCATGCCCCACAGCTTGAGCACACCGCCAGCCCTTTTTGTTCATTGGTTTTTAGTTAAGAACTAGCCAGATAATCCTACACCTTCTGTTGCTGGGATGATAAGCCTGTCCCACCACACTTGTTTTTTTTTTTGTGTGTGTGTGTGTGTGTGTGTGTATGTGTGTGTGTGTGTGTGTGTGTGTGTTAGACCTGAGGCTTGAGCTCACAGCTCAGGCTATTCCTGAGCCTCTTTTGCTCAAGGCTAACACTCTACTACTTGAGTCACAGCACCACTTCCAGATTTTGGTTAATAGGAGATAGTCTCATACTTTCCTGCCTAGGCTAGTTTCAAAATGTGATCTCAGATTTCAGCCTCTGAGTAGCTAGGATTCCAGGTTTGAGCCACCAGTGCCTGTTTTGTGTGTGTGTGTGTGTGTGTGTGTTTTGTTAGTCATGGGGCATGGACTCTGGGCCTGGCCACTATCCCTGAGCTCTTCAGCTCAAGGCCAGTGCTCTACCACTTCAGCCACAGTGCCACTTCCATTTTTCTGATGGTTTATTGGAGATAAGAGTCTCATGGATTTTCCTGCCCTGGCTGGCTTTGAACTGTAATCCTCAGACTTCAGCCTCCTGAGTAGCTAGGATTACAGACGTGCACCAGCAACACCTGGCTTTTGGTTTGTTTTTGAGTAGGGCCTCACATTTTTGCCTCAGATCCCCCTATCTGTTCCTCCCAAATAGCGGGGGTTACGGTACATTGGATAACATATGAGTAGGATCCACAGAAATAGAAGCTTTTGGGAGCAGAGAACACAATGGTTAAGGGCCTGGGGCAGGGCACCGGTGGCTCTTGCTTATAAACCTAGCTACACAGGAGGCTGAGATCTGAGGATCAGGGTTTGAAGCTAGCCCAGGCAGAAAAGTCAGTGTGGGGCTGGGAAGGTGGCTCAGTGGTAGAGCGCTTGCCTTGCATGCATGAGGCCCTGGCTTTGATTCCTCAACACCACATAAGCAGCAAAAAGAAAAAAGCCAGAAGTGATGCTGTGGCTCAAGTGGTAGAGCGATAGCCTTGAGCTGAAGAGCTGAGGGACAGCGCCCAGACCCAGAGTTCAGGCCCCACAACTGGACCCCCCCCCAAAAAAAAGAAAAGTCAGTGTGACTCGTATCTCCAATTAACCACCAACAAAAGCCAGAAGTAGAATTGTGGCCCAAGTGGTAGAGTGCTAGCCTTAAGCACAAAAAGCTCAGGGACAGCATCCAGGCCCTGAGTTCAAGCTCAAGATAATTGATGGATTAATTAATTAATTGATTGATTGAAAAACCAACCTTTACCTTTTGGACACACAAGCACTTCCTTCCTTGACCTATTTTACTTTATGCCACCAGGGGGCGGCCCTGCTGTGTTATTCAGCATCTGGCCACAGGGCTGTGGGGTGGGAAGTTGGGTTGATTTGAGGGTGTTGCTGGCTTTGCAAGGGGTTTCCTGTAGAAAACCAGTTGTCCTCCTGCTTTTCTGTCCTTCAGGAAAAATCATTTATTATAGGGGAAGGAGAGGGATGAAAGGAAGGAAAGGAGCATTTTCTCATTATAAAAACAGCACTCCTGATTAGAAGCTGGGGCTGGGAATGTGGTTTAATGGAAGAGTGCTTGCCCAGGCCTGAGGTCAAGCTCCAGGACTTGGGGGGGGGGGGAAGATTAGAAGCAAGAAGAGTAAATGTGTGAATGTTCATTTGGAAACATGTTTGTTCGAACATTTAAAGGCTGGGGTGCAGTGTGTGCTTAAGAATTGGTGAGGAGGGCTGGGAAGGTGGCTCAGTGGTAGAGTGCTTGCCTTGTATGCATGAGGCCCTGGGTTCAATTCCTCAGCACCACATAAGCAAAAAGAAAAAAGCCGGAAGTGGCGCTGTGGCTCAAGTGGTAGAGCGCTAGCCTTGAGCTGAAGAGCTGAGGGACAGCGCCCAGGCCCAGAGTTCAGGCCCCATGACCGGACCCCCCCCCCAAAAAAAGAATATCATGGATTTCCTGACTGGGCTGGGCTGGCATTGAACCAGGATCCTCAGATCTCAGCCTCCTGATTAGCTGGGGTTATAGGTGTGAGCCCCAGACCGATCTATCATCCCCATTTTCAAGATGAGAAACAGCCACACAGAGGTTACATAAACAGCATCACACAGCCAAGAAATCTTAGTAGTTACCTCAAGGCAGCTTACTCCTAAACCTTGTGTGAATAGGCCTCCTTTTAGTTTGGATTTGGTTCATATTATGTAAAGAGATTAGAATCTAAATACCAACAAACAACAGTTACTCGCTTGACCTTGCTAGCAAGCAGAAACATTTCACTCCTTAATTTGGCAAAAGCTAAAATTATCAGCACGTGAAGGCTTGCTGAGAATCGGGTGAAAAAGAAGAGTTGCCACACTCAGGTCAGATGAGAAGCATAGAAAGTGGAAATGATGAAGAATTTTTTTGACAGTCCTGAGACTTGAACTCTGGGCCTCGGCAT